ATATTGTAATTAATTATAATTTTTTATTTTTTTTACATTAATTTTATTTTAATAAATTTTATTAATGAAAGCAAACAGTGAGACTTACCATTACAAAGCGACTGATTGTAGTGAGGCAACATTTGCTCACAATGTTTTCCCGTTCGGCCTGGGGGACAGTGACAATAATAGCTGCCAGCAGTATTTATGCAGTGACCCACAAGGCAGGGTGAAGGCGAACAATAATCATTGGCCGTCTGGAAGTAAAAAAAGAAACAAACAATTAATTATTTGATTAAAATTAATAAAAACCAGTAAAGAAAGTCTTAAAGTCGGGTGGGGTCGACTTTATGATACCCTACACCACTTTGCTAATTTAGTAGAGCTCCACATAACAAATAAAAGTTTTTATGGAAGAATTCAATCATACACGCCATGATTATAATTATAATTTAAAGTTCAAAATACTAAATATGCCGAAGAATTTGTATCTTTTAAATTCGGACCATTTGATATACATGGGAGATATATCCAAATCTGAACCGATATTGAAAAAAATTTGGCACAGATATTTCTGAGTTGTATTTCATATATTTCCCTGAATATCGTTGTTACGGAGTGCATATTACGGCTGTGGGTAACAAAAATATAACAAATCGGACGAAGATATATGTGGGAGCTATAGCTATATCTGAACCGATTTCGATCAAATTTGGCATACTTCTTTTTAGGCCTAATTTGATTGTATGTGCAAAATTCCATATATTACACGTTTGGTGCACAATAATAGGCAAATCGGACGAAGATATATATGAGAGCTATATCTTAATTTTGACCGATTATCTCCAATTTCAATAGGTTTCGTCCTTGGGCCATACAAATGATTTGTGCAAAATTTCATGTGGTTCGGGTAATAAATGCGAACTGTACTTGGTTCACAAAAATACATGGACAGACGGACGGACGGAATAGAATTAGAGATTTGAATCGGAATAGGGAGAAAATAGGTGGGGGCAAATTCTCACACTTTTGGACATTTTCGGATAAAGATTCCTTGGAACATGTTGATTTTAGGAATATAGTATATTAGGCAATATTGCAGATTCAAATGCGAGGAATATTTTTGTCGAATATGTTAGTTCTCTGACTAAAATTGGATATTTGAATAGGAATAAAGAGAAAATTAAAAAAACGCCGAATTTTATATATTTCAATTCAATCCTACCTAAAATTACAATATAAAAGAGACCTACTATTATGAAACACTTTGAAATCTCTGCTAAATGACCACTGTTCATATGAGTACAATGTTTCGAGACCTTATGTCACTGGTAGACATTCTTGAGTTACTCCAGTTGGTTTTTATACGAACTCCACTAAATTGCTCAAATCCCAGCAGATTTCATAAGAAAAACCAAAATATATTATTGCGTTAATTATATTTTATTGTCAATGCATGGTCCTGAGAATACTAATGAGCTAAATACTGCAATTAAAATCATGAAATGATGTAATTAAAGTAATTAACAAGTGTTTTACGCTTGTCTGTCAATGAGAGAAACGCGTTCGTTTCTTAAGTCTTTTGTTTTTTTTGTAAACCAAGTCAAATGAAACATTTCAAATAAATCGCAAAGGAATTTCTATTACTAAATGCACATTTGACAATAAATTAAAGCGAACTAGTCGCGATCGAATTTCGCGATACAAGTCTATTTATACAAAACAAAATCAATGAAACAGCTAGAAAAACAAATTGTCGCAATGCTTAAATGTAGTCTTATGTTAAAAAAATAAATGAAACACACACACACACACTTACCTCACACAATGGCCCGGAATATCCCAGCGGACAAATGCAATTAAATTTACCAATCATATCGACACACTCGCCACCGTTGCGACACGGCGAATTGGCACACTCGTCGATATCGATTTCACAATGACGACCTGTTGAAGAGAGAGGGGGAGGGGAAGAGAGAGAAGGAAAAATATAAAAAATTAGTTGAAAATCTCAAAATATTTTTAAATTGTCATCATTGGTGGCTTTCTACAGAAGAAGGCCTCTCTCTATGGAAGAGGACAATTTGCTCTTCTATGGAAGAAGACAATTTGGTTTTCTATTGAAGAAGAAGATCATTTGGTCTTCTATTGTAGAAGACCAGTTGTTGGTCTTCTATATAGAAGAATAATTTTTGGTCTTCCATAGAAAAAGACCAACAATTGCTCTTCTATAAGAAGAAGACCAATTGTTTATCTTCTATAGAAGAAGACCAATTGTTGGTGTTCTATGAAAGTAGACCAATTGTTGGTCTTCTGTAGTAGAAGACATAATGTTGGTCTTCCGTCAGAGAAGACCATTAGGTCTTCCTATAGAGAAGACCATTTAGTCTTCTTTTAGAGAAAACCATTCGGTCTTCTATAGAACAAAGTAAAAAAGCTGTAAGTTCGGCCGGCCGAACTTTGAATACCTTCTCCATTTGATACAAATTTGGCAATTTTCAAAAAAAAAAAAAAAAAAATAAAATAAAAAATAAAATAAAATAAAAAAAAGACTAAAAATTCTGTTAAAATCTTAAAAACACCGAATGCAGCCGTATATCAGGGTCCATACGACGACGTGGCCTTGCCCATGCAACTTTGTCACAAGCTAATACAATATTCAAATGCGAAACTTGAATAAAATCTGTTTATAAGGTAGCTAAAATCATCAAAAAATAGGAGGTAGCATGTGAATTATAAAAAGTGGACCTGCACAGACAATTTGCTGGCATAGGTTGTAGTATCCATTAAGAATACCAAATTTGAAACAATTCCGGTTAATAATGTCGCTAAAATCATCAAAATACCGAATATCGGAAGGTACCGTTATATGGGAGCTATACGAAGACGTGGACCTACATGGCCCATTTTCTGTCTTTAGCCGAAGTATCTATTACGAACTTCAAATGCCAAAATTGAAACAATTCCGGTAAATAATGTCGCTAAAATCATGAAAATACCGAATATCGTGGGGTACCGTTATATGGGGGCTATACGAAGACGTGGACCTGTACAGACAATTTTTCGTCATAGGCTGTAGTATCCGTTACGAACTTATAATAACAAATTTGAAACAATTCCAGTAAATAATATCGCCAAAATCATCAAAATACCGAATATCGGGAGGTACCGTTATATGGGAGCTATACGAAGACGTGGACTTGCAAAGACAATTTTCTGTCTTAGGCTGTGAATTCCGGTGAATAATGTCGCCAAAATCATCAAAATACCGAATATCAGGAGGTACCGTTATATGGGGGATATACCAAAACGTGGACCTACATGACCCATTTTCAATGCCAAAAGTCCTGCAGACATAATACACATTCGAGCGAAATTTTGTCGATCTACTTCAATTCGTTCGGAAGCTAGAGTGTTTTCCACAGACGGATATCGGGAGGTACCGTTATATGGGGGCTATACCAAAACGTGGACCTACATGACCCATTTTCAATGCCAAAAGTCCTGCAGACATAGTATACATTTGAGCAAAATTTTGTCAATCTACTTCAATTTGTTCGGAAGCTAGAGTGAGTTCCACAGACGGACAGACATCCCTAAATCGTTATAGAATTTTATGCTGATCCAGAATATATATATACTTTGTGGTGTCTAAAATGTTTTACAAACAGAATGACAAATTTAATATATCCTCCATACTATGGTGGAGGGTATAAAAATATATTCCTTTATTCCAACTCACCTGTAAAACCCGTTGCGCATGCGCAATGGTAATCATTTACCAAATCCATGCATGTAGCACCGTTTTGACACTGACCCACGCAATCATCGAAATTTTGTGCACACGTTGGACCACCCCAGCCATCGAGGCAAATGCATTTGAATGAACCGGGCAGATTAATGCATTGGCGGGCATTTACACAGGCACCAATGGTGGTGGTGGTGGTGGCGGCCGTAACATTTGCCACACCGCTTGACGTTGAAGATGCTGCGGCAGCAATCAATGCTAACGAAGCTGATGTTGAAGTGGGCTGTGGTGGATATGGTATTTCGCATTCATTTACATCCGTTTGACATACATCGCCTGTCCACTGGGGTGGACATTCGCAACGGAAACCACCGATTAGATCTATACAAGTGCCGCCATGTTCACAAGGGCCACCGGCACATTCATCAATATCTGCAAAGAAAATAACAGAAAAAACACGAATGAGAACAATGAAGATAAGAAAGAGAACCCTCCTCCCCTTTTTCCACTCTCCCCCCTATCACCAAATGATAAACAGAGATTTAAAGTGCCTCTCAACGAAGAGGCTGAAGAAGAACAAAATCAACAAATAACATTGTATGAAATATGCAAAAGGATCCATTGGTCATCCAACCAGGCAACCCACCATCCATGCCATTCATGCCATCGCCCGCTTCCATTTGTATTCGGCTGTTTATCTTCTCAACATAATCAAGTGTCCATTATGGCCAAGAGATTTCTGTTTTTTTCTTCTTCTCCGGTTTCAAGTAGTGTGAGCTCGAATGGAATGGAGGGGGGGGGGGGGGCAAAGTTTAAACTTTTGATGACTTGAATGATGTGTTTCTTCTAAAGTGTAGACAGTTTTATCTAGTTTTTAGTAATCTAATGATTGTTGGCTTTCTTTCAGATGTCTTTTTGTTGTTCTTATTGTTGTTCTTCTCAAGTGACAGGCCATTTTCTCTAGTATTTGTTGCGTGATGTCTAAGACAAATAGCATTAGTTGTATGCCTGTTTGGTGCAAGGTGCATTTGAAAGATTTTTTTTTTTTCAGGAAAAAAAAACTCATTTTAATTTGTTTATGCCAGAATTGCAGACCACCTGCTGTTCTCTTTTATTTATTTGCCTTTCAACGATTTCTATATTTGCTGGCCATTTTTCGCAAGTCATGGCAAGACATAAATTTGCATGGGAGATTTAGGAGGTAGGACTAGGATGGTTGGAGGTTTTTAGTTTCTATCTTGTGAAAAAGTTGTAAAGGGAAGTGTGGGAGGGTGTTTAGAGGGGGAGGAAAAAATATAATTAGATTTTCTGTAATTGCTAATAAATTAAATTGCTTTATGTGTTCGATTTAATACGCCTACCTAAGAATAATGGAATTTGTGTGGTAAACCTACAAATCCGAAATTGACACTTATATTTTAACAAATGATCCGAAATTGACACTTATATTTTAACAAATGATACTGTGAGACAAAAATTTTTAATAATTACTGGAAAAATCCAGCAGTTTATGAAACCAGAGCTAAAAATAGAAGACACATATTTCGAAAGTTTATATCGTAAAATAACCTAAATAGAGGACAAGATCCCCCTTCTTCTACATTTTTTTTTTTTTTTGTTAAATTTTCGGAATTAGATTCCAAAGAAACCTTGCATTTGAGTTATGTGGCGTCTTTGGCAATTTTACTGAAAACAATACGAAGACGGTTTTGGTAAAAGATTTCAATTCCTAACTGGCCACCAAATGAGTCTTAAAGGTCCTTTTTCAAAATATGGTCCTTTTTCAAAATTGGGTAACAAATATAACAAATCGGATGAACAATATATATGGGAGCTATAGCTATATCTGGACCGATCTTCACCAAATTTTACATACTAGCTTCTAGACTCAATTCGGTCGTAAGTGCCAAATTTCATCCCATTTGGAAAAATATTAGACGTTTGGTGCACAAAACAAAGTAAATCGGATGAAGTTATATATGGGAGCTATATCTAAATCTGAACCGATCTCGATAAAATTTAGCAAATGTATTTCTGAGCTGTATTTGATATATTTCCCCAAATATTGTTGTTACAGAGTGCATATTACGGTTGCGGAGGACAAAAATAACAAATCGGATGAAAAATATATATAGGAGCTAAAGCTATATCTGAACCGATTTCGATCAAATTTGGCGTACTTATTTTCAGACCTAATTTGGTTGTATGTGCACAATTCCATACTATTCGGGCTGATATTACACGTTTGGTGCACAATAAAAGGCAAACCTGGTCGCCAAATGAGTTTTAAAGGTCCTTTTTCAAAATATGGTTACAAACTCCCTTTAAACGGCACAGAAAAAGAAAATTTTGTAAAATCTTACAAAAAATATGTAAAATCGGATATGACCCTTTTTCAAATCAATGATTCTTGAAATAATCCAAAACTGCCTACAAACACTCGATATGAAATGTAACGAAATATATCTCAAAATCTTAGAGCCCCTTTGTATATCAAGCTATTGGCTATATAAAAACCTTAAAAAAAAATGACCTAAGTACATTTTTGGTGTTTTGATCTGTACAACAAATACTATAAAATCCTCTTGGATTTTTCACAAGCCAGACTGGGTGTTTATTGAGAGATTATAAGAAAATTTCTAGCTAATTTTACCAACAATAATAAAAAAAATTAAAAAAGCTCATTTGATGATATTATTTTAATGGTAACTATTGAGTATTCAAATCTCTCTTGTTCAGAGACTTCCAATGAAATTTGATCTAGAATATTTCTTTCTTTGACACTATGCCCGAAAAGTGAAGTATTAATGGAGATTTTGAGACAGAACGGAAACATGTAAAATTAGCAGTAGAAAAGTAAATACATAATTTTCGCTTTTAGTACATACATTTTGGATGCAATTTTCACCAAAGACTATTGTGCCTAGATATATGGTTTATTCTGAGATATATAGTGAAATTTCATGTAGAATATATCCTCCTTTGATACTTGTTGCCTAAAGTGAAGTTTTATGTCACATTCTTGCATCAACTCAAAAAATGACAAAAAAATTGATCAAAAAAAAAAAAAAAAAAAAAAAAAAATCGGATTTTTTTTTGACAACATTGAGGCAATCTTTTTCCTGATATATACTGGATACAGAGATTTCTTTCCTTTGGTGGCTCATACTGAAATTCGATCAAGAATATTTCTTCCTTTGAGACTTTCCGCAAAAAGTGAAGTATTAATGGAGATTTTGACTCCGAATGGAAACGTGTTAAATTACCAGCAAAAAATGTAAAGACATAATTTTCACTTTTATACACGAATAGTTGAATTCAATTTTCTTAAAATCTATTAAGCCTAGATGTATGATTTTTTCTGAGCTATATAGCGAAATTTTGTGCTGATTATTTCTTCCTTTAGCACTTTTTGCCTAAAGTAAAGTTCCAAGCTACTTTCTTGCGTCAACTCGGAAATAGGGTGAGAATCAATGAGTAAATATTTTCTCGTGTTTTTTTTTTGGGCAACATTGATGCTAATATTTTATAGATATATAATGGATGCAGAGATTTCTTTTCTTTTGTGACTCATACTGAAATTCGATCAAGAATATTTCTTCCTTTGAGACTTTCCGCAAAAAGTGAAGTATTAATGGAGATTTTGACTCAGAACGGAAACATATTTAATTAGCAGTAAAAAACGTAAACAAATAATTTTCGCTTTTAATATTCGAATTAATGAATTCAATTTTCTTAAAATCTAGTAAGCTTAGAAATATGATTTATTCTGAGATATATAGTGAAATTTTGTTCTGAATATTTCTTCCTTTAACACTTTTTGCCTAAAATGAAGTTCCAAGTTACTGTCTTGCGTCAACTCGAAATTAGGCTAAGAAGCAATAAATAAATATCTTCTTTTTTTTTTGGCAACATTTTTGCTAATATTTTCTAGATATATAATGGATACAGAGATTTATTTTCTTTGGTGACTCATACTGAAATTTGATGAAGAATATTTTCCCCCTTGAAACTTTGCCCGGAAAGTGAAGTATAAATGGAGATTTTGATTCAGAACAGAAACATGTTTAATTAGCAGTATAAACCGTAAATACATTATTTTCACTTGTAGTACAATAATTTTGCATGTAAGTATTTTAAAAAAACTATTATACCTAGCTATATATTTTATTCTGATATTTATAGTGAAATGTTGCGCTGAATATTTCTTCCATTGTCACTTTTTGTCTAAATTGAAGTTTAATGTTACTTTCGGGCGTCAACTCGAAAAAAGTCCAAAAAAAAAATGAATCAAAAAATAAGTAAATGGTTTCTTCGTTGTTTTTTTTGGTAACGTTGATGCTAATAATTTCTTGATATATAAGCGATCTAGAGACTTCTTTTCTTTAGCGTCTTATAGTGAAATTTGATGATGAATAATTTTTGTTTTGACGACATCTTTCAAAAATGATGCCTTGTTGGAGATTTTTGAGCAAACTTACACAGAGTATGGCTTTAACCTTTAAATGTGTTTTTAATATAAAGGAATTCCTGCCGTTACAGAAGATTTAGACTCTTCACTCTTTCACCCATTACCGAATAATTTTTTTAAGGCCACAACTGTTCAGTTCATATACCACCTATTCTGTATGGTCATATTTGGCCTTATACTATCCTCTCAAATCTCTGTGAGACTTTTTTGCCATTTCTAACACACAATCGGAACTTTTAAATATTTATTTGTGTTTTTTCTTCTTTCTTTTTTTTAAACTTAAGACTTTCCACTTCTATGGCCATTTATTTGAGGATTATAGAAGAGAGAGAGAAAAAAAAACAACTGTCATTTGTTGGTAAATATTTTTACAATTCTGTAGTAACGTCTAAGTACGTGATTATTATTGAACAACAAACAAGTCGCCATTGTCTGTTGATGATAAATGGGCCCGTGTGACATGGGGACAAATTTGTTAAGAGGGATTTGCATATGAAAGTTGGTGTTTTTCTTAACAAAAATAGTATGGAGGTCTGGTCATACATGATGGAGACTCATGTGCGTGAGGATTTTAAAAATGTTGTTAACAAGAATTAAAGTTACAAGTAAAGGATGGAAAAAATACATAAACAGTTCTTAAAATTAAAATCGAAATCTAAAAATCTGATATCAACCATTAAAACTCTTATAATTATTTTTTTTTTAATAAACCAGTGAAGGAAGTCTTAAAGTCGGGCGGGGCAGACTTTAAGATAAAATACACCACTTTGCCAATTTAGTAGAGCTCCACATAACAATTAGAGTTTTTATGGGAGAATTCAATCATACACGCTATGATTATAATTATAATTTAAAGTTCAAAAGACAAAATATCCCCAAGCATTTGTATCTTTTAAATTCGGACTAGTATTGCCCATTTGAAATATATATGGGAGCTATATCCAAATCTGAACCAATCTCA